TGGGCCCTCCTCGCCCACCAGCACAATGTGGACTTATCACACACCAGCACAGTGTGAGCTCTGCCTGCTGCCGTTTCCTTCTGAAGCATAGAAGCAGCACCATTACGACTGATGCAGCCTGAAATTGACAGATGAAGGGGCTGTATTAGGCTGACAGCTTGTGACATCTTGTTGGGAATGTTAATTTGTGTTGAAGTTTAATGTTCTGGACAGTTAATACTCCGTCTACTCCCAGTCTACAATCCCAGCCAAAAACTACTGAGCTTTAGCCTAGCCAGTTACGCATTGCTTCAGCCAATATCATTCCACTCTCAGAGAAACCATCTGACCTCCATATAATGGAACACAGATGAGCAAAACTAATAATGCTTATATAATCCTTTCTACATAATCAGAATATTCACAAAGAAACTATAAATCACTTTGATCCCTTATAATACTAAATTGCAATGACACTCTTCAGTCCTTGTTGCACATGAACTGTAATGTAGCACAGACAGGGAATGCAACAGAGTGTTTTGCTGGGGAAAATAAAGTATACCTGAATCAAATAACAAAAATTTATTACATTTCAGCTTATCAGTCCTTAGATGGGGTGGCAGCATTAGTAATTTTTCCATTCCTTATTTCCTTTATTTGTACCTGGTGATCCTGCCAACAACACATTTTCTGTCCCAGGGAAACAAGACTCAGTCACATAGGCTAACAACACTAATTCAGTGTTCAGTATGTATGGAGGAGTGGCTATGTCACCGAAGGGCAAGAAATGTGTTAGGACTACAAAATACCTCCTCATCTGCATAATATCTATCTATCTATCTATCTATCTATCTATCTATCTATCTATCTATCTATCTATCCATCCAGACATCTTAAAAGTCATAGCCCGCTCTTGAGCGATCCGTGGAAAACTAGGTCTCTGCAAGACTTCACCCTGTATAAAGCTGCCCTCCTAAAATAATTCCTCCCTCCGTGCTGCCAAACAGACTTATTTTGTCACTCTCATTATCACACTCATCCAGACCTCATCAACTCTTTTCTACTTATAACGCTCTACTGTTTCCTCCACCGCCGCCACCCACTAACTCACTCACTGCCCAGGACATTGCCATTCATTTCAAAAACAAAATAGATACAATTTGGGGGTCAGATCTCCTCTGGTCCAGTCACCTTCTCAATTTAACGTACCAGATCCACCATCACACTTGTTTCTTTCCTCTTTTGACCCTGCCACCACAGAGGGGAGTTATAAAGCTTTTCTCTGACACCCACCTCACCACTTGCCCCCTGGACCCTATTTTCTTACCAATACTCTGCTCACCCTCTTGCTCTATCCTACAATCTTTCCCTGCTCTCTAAAACATGCGCTAGTCTCCCCAATACCTCAAAAACCCTCGCCTGACCCTACCAACCTTTAGCATCTCAGACCAATCTCTTTTCTCCTATTCACCTCCAAACTCCTAGAATGCCTAGTCTACAACCACCGGAGCCGCCACCTCACTGATAACAACCTTCTCGACCCCAACAGTATGGCTTTTGCCCCCAATGCTCCACTGAAACCACCTTTCTAAAACTCACGACTTCCTAACTGCTAAAAACAACGGCCACTAATACTTACTCTTGCTTTTAGACCTCTCTGCTGCTTTTGACACTGTTGACCACCCGCTGCACCTCAAAAAAACTCCACTCGTTTGGCCTACAAGATTCTGCTCTCTCATGGTTCACCTCCTACCTTTCTAAGTTATCCTTTAGTGTCCACTACAAATCTAACGCCTCCCCTCCTCTTCCTCTTTCTGTAGGGGTCCCCCAAAGCTCAGTCCTTAGACCCCTTCTCTTCTCTATCTACTAGGGCTGCAACAACTAATCGACTAAGTCGATTATAATCGATGATGGAAAAATACGCCCCTTCTTCGCCAATGAAACCACAAAGCTGCTCATCCACTCGCTTGTTATATCTCGTCTTGACTATTGCAACTCCCTCCTCACTGGCCTACCTCTACACAGGCTATCCCCCCATCAGTCTATCATGAATGTTCCTGCCAGACTAATCCACCTAACCAGCAGCTCAGTGTCTGCAACCCCCCTCTGTCAATCCCTGCACTGGCTTTATTCGCCCAAAGGATATTTAAAATATTACCAACCACTTACAAAGCCATCCTTAACTCTGCCCCCGGCTATATCTCAAACCCCGCCTCAAAGTATCACCCTAACCGTCCCCCCGGCTCTTCCAAAGACCTCCTGCTTTCTAGCTCCCTCGTCAACTCCTCCCATGCTCACTTCCAGAACTTTTCTAGGGTCTCTCCCATCCTCTGGAACTCCTTACCCCAACCTGTCTGTTTATCTCTTACTCTGACTGCCTTTAGGGGATTCCTAAAGACTCATCTCTTCAGGGAAGCCTATCCCACCTCAAAATAAACACTGAACTATCACGTTCTCAAATAATTCATCCCCACACAGCTACCTCCTCATGTATCACTTGATCCTCACTTTTAGACTGTAAGCCCTCACGGGCAGGACCCTCCTCCCCTTGTATTGTATTTGTAATGTCTTCCTTATATTGTAAAGTGTTGCACAAACTGTTGGCGCTATATAAATCCTGTATAATATCTATCTATCTATCTATCTATCTATCTATCTATCTATCTATCTATCTATCTATCTATCTATCCATCTAACTATCTTAGTTCCTTAGATTCATCACCAGTATGTCTGTCTGTATTTGTCCATCAATTCATCCATCCATTTTTTATAAAGCACCTCATTTATTGTAAGGAGTATGCTATTCTTTATGCTGTGCCAGTTTTTTTTTTTTTAAAACAAAGTGTGCTAAATGAAGTAGTGATATTATCTAAATGTGTTCCTTTGACAGTTATAAAGTCCAGCATAAAATAACTTTTACGTTGAGTTGAATTTATATCCACTTTAAATTATTTTAGACCAAATTTCCATTTGACACATTCATGTTAAATTTCCATCCATCCAACCATCCATCCATCTATCTATTCATCCAACCATGATCCAGCTATCCATCCATCTCTTGATATCACACTGGAGAAGTGGCTGCTATTCAGCTATACGCAGCACAGAGGATAGTAGCCTTCCAACTCCATACAGCTCAGAGCTATGCGTCTCTCATAAAGAAGTAATTATTGGTGACAAAGCATGTGACGGAGAAAAATGGAGGTCTCCAGGCGTGTATAATATTTAACACACAAAGCAGGAGTGTGACTGACAAAGCTGGTACCAGTGTGTCAGCCCAGCGTGATAGAAAATGTAAAATTATATCTACAAGGAATTCGGTAATAAAGCTTTTTTACCAGAATAATGACAGCTCTACAGCTGCTGCCAACATTGCAATAAGTTTTCCAGACACCCTGTGCTACTGAGCAGGTGCCCTGCATGCAATGTGATGTGCACTGGCTCAGGTAAAAGTGCCATTATACAGCTAGAAGATACAAGAGGCATGTGGGGCAAGCAAGTGTATCATCTGTGATACACTTAAGAGGATAGGTTGGATAGGTTGAGAATTAGCAGGAATGCTGCACTGTGAGGTTAGGTGTACACAGTTGTATAAGCCTGGACAGATGACTCTGACAAAACTTTAGGGTTTTTTTTGCCTTCCTCTGGATCAACAGGGGGTAATTGTTTGCATAGCGTTCAGTTTAAGCTTTTTTTTTTTTTCATATCTCCATCTTGAACTCGATGGACATGTTTCTTTTTTCAACCTGACTAACTATGTAACTATGTAAAAGGGTCACTGTGTCATTGTAAACCTATGAGCTGGTACGAGCTAACACGGGCTGCTCAGTCATAGGAAACCCTAATTTACTATAACCTGTATATGAGCTTTAAGAAAAAAATAAGCACACAAGAACATTTTTAGAGCGTTTTAAGCAAACCAGGATTGCATTTAAAATAAAATTAAAAAAAATATTTTTTTTTCCTTATTCCACTCGTACTTTGTTCATGTTTTCCCCCACTATGATGTGCAGATCCTGTAGACTCTTTGTATAAACTTCATGTGAAGTTATGCCCATGCTGGCAACAGAATGTCACGGTTTTATTGCAGTGAATATGGGGGAGTGTGCCAGCGCACTGTGCACTGGCACAACTGCTTGTAGTCAGACTTGGAAACATGCTGGAATGGGTGAACTAATGTCATCATCCTAAGGAAGGAAGTGCCCAAGGTACACCTTGCTTTTGGGCTCACTAGGAGTGATTAAAGTGAATGCAGAAAATAAAAAGGGATTCAACTTTGACATTACAGGAACATGGGCAAGAGTATATTTAGTTTCATTGTTTGGGTTCAACAACAGATCTGGCAATAGTAGCAGGTTTAACAAAGACTTCGCTCATGCATATAAAAATGTTTGTCCTTGTATTATTATTATTATGTTATTATTTGTTATTTGTTTATAATACACAATCATGCCATACTGTAAGTTAAATGATAAAGTTGTGCAAATTCCAAACTCTAGTAGAAAAACATGATGCAGGAGGTGGAAGAAACTAAGTTTACAATCTTCAGAGGTGTTGGGAACACTAGTAAGACTGCATTTACATGGCTGACAAAAGAAGATTCCAAAGATGCCAACTGTCCTGAATTTGCCAGGACACTCCCATGTCTTGGCCTCAGTCCTGATGATGCTGTGTTCAAGGTGATGTCCTGGAATCATTGCACCACCCTTATTTGAGTAACTGTGCATGTTCAGTTACTCAATAAGTCATTCAGTAGGGTGATTGGGGGCAGCGAGTTGGCGGTCCCCACATAATTAGAGGCTGGGTTTTAGACAGGCCATTCTGGTAAATGGGAGGGGTCTGGGTTGAACCGCCTGGTCACTGGGTGGTCCTGTGGCAGACTGTGGGCAGGGTTAATTGTGTCCCGGGGACAGTGACTGAAGAGTTGGTGAGTATGAAACTCTTGGTGGGTGGTACTGACCTTTGCCAAACTTCTTCTAAACAAAGGGGTCCTAGGTAGTGGACTGAGACAAATGATTTAGTTTGCATGTTCAGTATATGGCTGGTCAAATATTTTGTGCAATGTTCAGGCCATAGTTCTCTATGTTGCTCGCCCCAGCAGGTCTACCTTCAGAAGACAGATTTGATAGATAGAGGAAAGCTGCCTTGACAACATGGACACTGGGTTCTCCTCTACATCCTGAGCCTGAAAAGGTCCAGCTTAAGGGTGATGGCAGTGGATGGAGGTGACAGAGTTGGTTATTGGGAAATCAATTATTTGGAAATAAACAATTTAGCACATTTGAAGAGGTAGGTTTGCAGAAGCTATCAGCATATAGTTAAGGTGGGGCAGGTTTGATAACCTGGGAAAGAGATTTCAAGGAAAAGAATGTGGCCAAAGTATTTCTTGGAACCTTTATGGTAGAAAAGGTGGTTTGGGGTTTACTTGTGTATGATGTCAGAAATGCAGGTGGGACATAAACTGTGAAATGATTCCAAAACATACAAACTTCATACATACAGTATATACACACTTCTTATGAACCTGCATATAGACAGACACAAAAGCATAAAAATTCACAAAATGTATTCCAGATGACTGCAGTACATATATTTATGTAGTGATATGGACTGCAACGCACAGATTTTATCCTTCTCCGTAGATGTGCCTTGTTTATGACCTCTCCCAGCCTTGCGATATGAGATTATAATCAAATGACATTGTAATATAATATCTTCCTCTTTCTTGTTTCCTTTAGCCAAAAACAGTAGCAAGAAGACAGAGAAAAACAAGAAAACCTCGGAGAAGTTTGTTTATGGAACAAGTGAGGAGAAGACAGTGCAAGATGTCAGAGAAAGTGCGTGAGAATATTCTGTTTCCTACTCTGCAGAAGAGAGGGTGTCAAATGTGTTATCTGTGTAGCTGTAGAGAGGTGCAGAGAGCGGAAACATCTTCCAAACATTGGCATCCTTCTTAGGATCTGCTTTTGGGAGTAATCTGCTCAGCACAGCAAACCTACAAGTACACCTGTCATTTTACATCAGTAAACTGATGGCAAAAGGATGATATGTTCTGTCAATTTGAGGTTTGGCTTATTTTGTGTCTCAAATCTTGCCTCCTGTGCCATTAAAATAGAACTGAATCCAAAAGTTTTTCTAACTTTGGGATAGAGTAAGGGAGGGTTATAACCCCTATCAGCTTTTTGGCCATCTGTGTCCCATTGGGGATATTTCCTTTCACTTCTGGTGAAAGCCATAACAGGTAACGAGATGAAATCCCTCCAATGTGAAGGAAGTCCGTGGTGGTCAGCAGGGTCACCAGAACTAGTTTTCCCATTGGAAGATTTCCTATCTATTCTTGTTCTGACGACAACCCAACATTTTGGGGGTTTCTTTCACTTCAGTGATAAGAGTCTCCAGGCCAAATAGAGAGTGTAAACCTCCCCGATGGGGTCACAGACAGCAATAAAAACCCGACTGGTGTTCTAATCCATCTCCACTGTATCTAAAACTACAAGAAAAAAAAGTTTTAGCTTAATTTGTACTTTAAAGCTGAACTCCAGGCATCAAAACATTTATTTAAATATATTCTTCAATAGCCACAAAGGACAATAATCCAATTTGTGTGCACCCATGCTTTTGGAAACCCAGATAGTACCTTAAAAAAATAGTGATGGCATCATCACTGGGCTGTACATAGCCTGGGCAGAGAGCAGAGCCATGCGTAGGACCCAGCGAGCCCTACCACTACAGGGCCCTGCAGAAAACTACAGAGGGTTGGATACAAGACCAGTCATCCTGCACAAGGAGAGAGAGCAGTGACCAGTCTGTATTACAGAAAATGCCTGCACAGATGCAAAGAGCAGGAGTTGTTTCATGATGGATTATTGCACAGATTTGAAAAAATTGCGAATAGCACACCAAGATAGACTTTTGTATTTAGGAAATATTTGTTTAACCCGGATTTCAGATTTTTAAAGGCTTTGAATAGCTTAGTACATAACAATAGAAAAAAAAAAGATGATTCAAGTGTTCTGTCCCAGCGGTAACTGACGGTAAAATGTTTTTTCTTTACGTGAGTGTTTATTGAATCTGGATACCAAATCCTTGTCTTCCATGCAGTATCAATACTTCATGTACCTGAGATGCTGGAAAGTAGATGAGAATATAAACTCTTCTGAACGATGAGATACTCCAAAGTCATTATTCCCTTTCATGTTCTAGCTGGGTATGTGATTCCTTGACAGAGGGAACGACTAACGGCGCTGTCATCTCGTTAATCTCCCGAAAAGCTCTCTTTGCTTATCAAATGTAGACGGCTTTATAAATACTTATTCTGTTTCTGGCTGCAGAGAGTAATGCAAGTTTACGTTAGGTCGAAGCTGAGATCAGCTCATGTGCAAATGGAAAATGTTACCCTTTCTTAAGAAACGTCGGCTTGCCTTATACAACATGAATGAGCCTGACGGCTGATCTCTGTGCTTGGGCTTTCAAGCACTGCCAGGGGCTTTTCCTAATAAAATTGCGGTTTTCCGTTCATTATATGTGGCTTTATAATAAGCTAGAGTGCTGCAGGAAGACAATGAATCTTTCATACCTGCTATGGAAAAATATATATTAATGCCATATTTTACACCCGCCACCACAGGAAGTGTGCCACTACATCAAGCCTCTGTTGTAATTTGGGGCTCCTATAAAGAATGGAAATGGGAATATGTCTCAATTTTCAGTAATTATACCCAGTTATTAAATCCCATAAAACTCAGTGAGAAGTTTAGAACTATGACTAAATGTACAGCCTAGTAGTTCCTTTGTATTTAGAAAACCAGCACACCATTGTTATAATAATGATAATTAACAGCAGTGTTGCTCCTCATGATTAATAGATTTCATCCCATACTAGCACAACTGAACTGGACTTCTCATTTAAAATTGCACTTGACATGAATCAACAGAGCACATGGCTACAATGCCAATGATCATATTTTTTAAACTTAAAAACATTAACAGTTTTGTACCGTACCGGTCTTTTTGCAAGGGGATGGTAGCCCATACAAATAGAAATGTGTTAAGGATATGGGAAGAAACAGACTGCAATCCCTAATGCTAGAGCATTAGGGTTATAGATAATCATATAGCAGATTATAGATAATCATCTCTGCTAGCCATCAATGAGCTAGGCTGGGGAGCGGGTACCTCTAAAGGGGTGTCTTTTGATACCTTCATAGGTAGAGAGCCATATGGCTACATTCAACTTTATCTGAAAATAGAAAAATGTTTGAACTGGAAGGTTACTTGATCATCTATAGTAACCTAAATATGATTGCAGGACTTCTGTAGAAGCCTACACAATCACTATGTAAGTATTAATGGGAGGGAATTTATCAAAACTGGAGCAGACAAAATCTGAAGCAGTTGCCTATGGCAACCAATCAGCTTCTCTCTTTAGTTTGTTCAGTTAGGATTTAAAAATTGAAAGAGTGAAGCTGATTGGTTGCCATGCACAGCTGCTCCAGATTTTGTCTGCTCCAGTTTTGATAAATGCCCCTCTATATGTTTTAACTAGGCTCTATCTCTTGGTCTGACAACAGGTTGTCCTCCTTTGGGACTGGAGACCCTAAAAGTAACAGACTTTCAACTACATGCTTCAACGGTGAAACGATATGGTCTGGGAGCTCATAGGGGGCGCCTCAATATCCAGGTAAATTTCAGCTTTTATAGTTCTGTAAAGTTTTTTGAAACAATGTGGCTCTTTTCTTCGAAGGTATGGAATGCATTTTGGGATGTGTAGTCTTGCATAGGTTTTAGCTCTCTTTCTTTGTAGTGCCATGATGTGGTCAGCAAATTATTAAAGTGTTTAAGACACTGGTGCTGTAGCATTCTTTTTGTGACAGTCCCCTCTTCGGGAGACCTCAGAACCTGGTGACCCATTAAAAAACTTTTATGTAACACACACCACAATTAAAGGACTTTTGTAGCTCAATTTGGAGCTAGTTAATTGTTTTACTCCTCACTTTTACAGGAAGTACCAGAATGCTTGCATGTACATGTGCTAGTTCACTGAGAGGTCTAGTGACTGGGGAAGGAGGGAAGGTCGTTATACACATTCAAAAACAACTGGACAGCCAATTGAAGAAATACATGATTTTCTTGACCTCCTGAACCTGGAGCCCTTGGGCTAATGACAGCTGGTGGAAAACCTGGACTTGTGGGCTCAGGACAGGTGCCTCTTTTGCCCATATGGGATTATGTATATTTCAAGGCATATCAGTGATGCTCTATTTGAAATTACTGTAGGCAGAAAGCCCTGTGTCTGGCAAAGAAAAAGAGAATTGAAACTGGCAGGACTTTTCATGAACACAGTACAGCTCCCAAATGACTGATGCAAGAAATTGCCTTCGTTTTTTTCCCATTTCAATTTGATCTTTCAATAGGCTGTATAGAAGCTGTAAATGTATTGCCCAAGTTCGATTTAACAATCAACTAAATACTGGTGGTTGATCAAACTGGTGGGTGGTAGAATGATTCGTTTCTGGTGATTACTTGCAATCATATTATGATTCCCAGCTGCTTGAAAGTGGTTGAAATTGAGTGGAAATTGCCATGTGCATGGCCTGCTTAAAGGTAGCCAGAGGTGGATTGCTGTCTCCTTAAGAATCATAAGCAGGGAAATATCTGACTGTTCTCATCTGTGCTGGGACTCACCTTCAGCTGGGACTTGACCTCCATGATTTGCCTGACATGGTTAAGTAATTTGTTCCCTCTTCTCAGTCATCATGCAGACTTTTTTCTAGCAAATTGGAGAATCACTTTGTACCTGGTTGATGCAATGCCAATAATTGTCCCCTTGGGTAGCTTTATTCAATGCTCACTCATGTATCACACTGAGCTTTTAAATTAGGGGTGTGACACTGTGACAAGTCCTTTTTCGGCCTGCCTCAGACTAGCCATAAACAGTCATTCATTAAAAACAAGACCTAAACTTCTCCAAACTGTTTGCAATGTGCTTGCTGTGACAGCTAGATTTGGTGTGTCACACTGGTAGATTGCATTCACTGCATGTGAAGTGACTGCATTGCCTACTAGGGATTTCCCAGCATGTGGAACAATCTCTTTCTCTGACCCAGTTTCTGAGATCGGTAATTGTCTCTAAGCTGTCCCTGGATTCCAGGGACTGTCCTAAGATATTAAGATTTGTCCCTGGAAAGTTCTGTTCCTTAAAATAACCCACATTTTATTTTCTGGCCGGCTGTACAATAAAACTAAACGATTTTGCTTGTTATGTTCAATTCTCATCATCATGTTTTCTTGGCTTCTTACATTAATTCCTAAGAAGAGCAGCATAAAAAAAGCAAAAATAATTGTTCACTTTCCAGTAAAATAAACATGTCTTTGTTTAATATATAGTGATTTGCAGTCTTCCAAGAAGCTCTAATACACAGCCCAGCTACAAAGTGCTCCGAGTAATAAACGTTGACAGCTAAGGGAATGGTAATAAAGCTGGAAACTGTCACAACCTTAGAGAATACTGACCTGTCTATGGCCAGATTTGTATGCTGTCTATACTCCAGACCAGTGTTTCTCAACCTTTTCTCAGTCACGGCACCTTTTAAAAGTATGCAAAATCTCAAGGCACCCCAGTCTAAAATGTAAAAAATGTAAAACATGGTGTGTGGCCCCTCCAAAATTCATACTAGACCATTATCCTAGATAGGAATTTGGTAGGGATTTTATAGGGGGGCTCCAAACACACAAAAAAATGAGAATCCTACTTCACATCAGAGCCTCCCCCCTTCACATCAGAATCCTCACTTTTACATGAGAGTGCCCCTTTACGTCAGGAGCTCCTTTCTCAAAATAAGAGCCCCCCCTTTCACATCACAGTCCCTCCTTTACATCAGAAGCCCCTTTCGTATGACACAAGAGGAGCCCCCTTCACATCAGAAGCCTGTCTGCACAATGGAAAGGCATGGTGCTGTGCAACAATTTCGAGGAACCCCAGGGTGCCACAGTACACTGGTTGAAAAAGGCTGCTCTAGACTACTGGTAAAGATTAGGTCATCAAGTCTGAATTAGGCTTGATCTTGATGTTTCTGTCTTGCATGGCCACATCTGTTCATTGCAGTTGTTTGCCGTCTCTGCTAAACTTCTGGATTATTTCAAGAAGTACAGATGCCATGACTGAATTAGTAGATGTTCCACTTTCTTTGAAAAATACCTGAATCTCATGCTGATTGAGAAATGTCTATACATGCATAGACCCAAAATGTCCTTTTTTCCCCAGTAATCAGATTATGCATGAACACTTTTAGTTCTGTGAGAGCATAATCAGAAATTAGTTTTAGCAGGTGGAATCCAATGGGATAATGTGCAATCTGTGGATGCAATTTGTCCTAGGTTAGTCTTGGTACAGTATTCGCTGTGATTATATATCTGAATCTTCTAAATGTGCTCCTTTTGTTCAGGCGGGGGTGAATGAGAATGATCTGTACGATGGTGCTTGGTGCGCTGGGAGAAATGATCTGCAGCAATGGGTAGAAATAGACGCTCGAAGACTTACCAAATTTACAGGGGTCATCACTCAAGGCCGGAATTCGCTGTGGCTGTGAGTATACAATCCTCTTCTTCTATAAGTGCACAGAATTGATCAAACTCATTAATTTTCCTACATAAAACAACGGTTTCTATGGCTACCATGCTAATTATTATTCCCTAATTATGCAGTTTGCAGGTAGGAATAGTAACCAATTTTATCCCTTCACATTCCTCTATAAATATACTTTGCTACCTGTTACTGTCCTGCCTCAGGCTGTTCTATGGCAATCCGTTCCCAGCTGCCAAGATCCATTGACTTCAGCTGGAGTGTGAGGATAATGACTGTATCGCTGTCCCACATCTAATCTTATCTTCCTAAATGATCCTGTTTCTGGCCCCATTAGTTGCACTGTTGCAGCAGGACTCATACAGCTTAGACTGTTATGTCATCTATAACCTATTTAGTGATAAACAAAATGCCTTTGCTCAGGGCTCATTATCCTTGTGTAAAAGCCCATTATATGTGCCATAAAGTGCCATAATGTTTTATGCTAAATGTATATTTATCTAATACCACTTTGAAGCCATTCCTGCATGTGAGTGGGCAGGCTTCAATTACTTAACGACACATACATTGTAGAGTGATACTTTTTTAAGAGTACAGCTAAGCTAGATAGTAAATACAAACCTAATGTAGGTAAGCCTGAAGAATTCTAATAGTTTACCACTTAAGGGGTCTATTTATTAATGTCTGAACTCAAGGTTTACACAAGTTTCACCCAATTCAATCCAATTGGAAAGTTTTGTATGAATCTTGGGTGAAATCATTACATAAATAGACCCCTTAATGTTCAGATTTTTGGTTTATCCTAGCCGTAATGGATTTTCTATAAACCTACGGTGATACACATCAGCTTGACATGTTCAGATTGATAGGATAGAGTCAGCTTAAAGCTGAACTTCGGGACAAGCAAATATTGTCTAAATATAAGAGGCTTCTTAGTTGAATCTTGGTGTCCTTTGTTTATTTCTTCCAGATCTGTGCATTAATCCAGTGTGACACTTTTCCTCTGTGCAGGAGCTCCCTGTAATAAAGACTGGTCACTGCTACTCTTCCTGCTTGTGCAGGGTGACTGGTCTTGTCTCCGCCCCCTCCTGTAGTTTTCTGCAGGCAGCCTGTAGCAGGTGGAGTTTGCTGGGTCCATCCCACAGCTCTGCTTTCTGCACAGTCTATGTACAGCACAGTGGTCACATAACTGTTACATATACAAGGTCATGTCTGGGTTTGCAAATGCATTTGGTGCATACAAAGTGGATTTATATGCTTTGCGGCTGTTGTGGATTATACGGATCTATATGAAGAATTGTTTGTCTGTAGTTCAACTTTAAAAACAATGGCTTTGGCTTACACTCGAGCTAAACTTGAACTTTTGCCCTTAGTGACTAACTTTCCATCTTTCATTTGAAGGCGTTGGTTGCTGGAAGCATTTTAGTTCCACTTTCCCTTCACTTTTCAATATCAGACCTTCAGATTTTCTAGTAAATTGCAGTTCATTTAAAGGAATAACAAATGATTGACTTCTGTGAGTGGAATCTTTACTGTTAGTCTTTACTGCTCTTCAGAAACAGTTGTGACATAGGATTCCATGAGTAGTCGTACAAACTTTCCGAACGTACACTGATTGTTTAATGGCCTGATGTCTTTTTTTTCCATTTGCTGTGTGAATTTTATAGCCCACTCTCATGATTTATAGCCGAGCTTCACAGCTGATGTTTTGGTTACAGTAAAGTTTTCCTCTCCTTCAGCAGTCCACTGGGATTATTCGGCACAGCATTGCGGAGAAGTACTTATGTGCAAAGTGCAGTAACCCATAATAATTAGGTTTCCTATAACTGCGCTCAGACAAGCCATGTATTAATTCCTTTTGCTTTCTGTTTTGCTTATCTGTTATTTGAATATTATATTTGCCTGGTATAGTTCAGGGACGTGCGGTCAGGGGAGGCAGGTGAAGCAGAGCCTCACCTAGTATTATGGAGGAAAAAGCTGTCAGTTTCAAGTCTGAAGCTGACAGCTTTTTCTCCATTCAGATCGGCATCTAACAGGTTACATAGCAGGGAAAGCCTGCCCGCTGTGTAACCTGTCATGGACGGAGTGCTGCCTGTTAATTACAGCCGGTGCTGCATCTGGCTTTTGACAGGTAGTTAGGTTGCACAGCAGCGGGCTTCCCCACTGCTTGTGTAACCTAATTATTGAAGCCAGAGCTGTCACAGCCTCTACTCTTTGTTAGACGCGTGAGCTCTGTGAAGGGTTTGGAACAATTGCAAAGCGCCATTGGTCCAAGCTGTCCAATCAAAAAAAACGAAAAAAAACCCCACTGAGGCCATCGATCTCGATGCCTCAGCAGTGACGAGCAAGTGAGGGACAGGAAGGCTCTTCCCTTCCTCCTTTACACTAGCTTGGGGATTGGTTGGGAGCGGGCTTCGGCCGGTGGCAGCGGGACTACTGGGGGCGAGGCTGGGGAATGCCCTAACCCGGAACAAGAGGTACCACACGTCACTGGTATAGTTACATATTTGGTAAGGTTGAATAAAGACATCCAGTTCAACCTATGTGTGTGTGTGGGATCTTTTTATAAACAAGTTGCAGAGGCATTTGCCCTGTGAATCTCTATGAACGTTTATTCTTTGTGAATAGAGGAAAAAACAAGCGTTCTTAATATACTTTTTCAGGTCAAATTGAATGTAATACCACTTCATGGCCACCAGAAGGAGCAGGGAACCAAAGGGAATAAGTATTTATTTTTTATACTCTTCAGCTCCATCTAGCGGTCATATTGTGGTATTACATTAAATTACATTTGACCTGAAAAGAAAAAAGTCCCCTAAAGAGAAACATCTACCCATCAATTGAATGTCTCCCAAAACAGTTACTTAAGGCATGACAACTATCAAGGTTGTCAGCTCTCAACTGAACTTTCAAGCCCTCAAATGGCTGGTGTTATAGCTGATCACATGTGCAGCACCATGGCAACTGCAATCCAAACAGAGGCTGTAATGGATAGGAGGGTGTAGTTCCACTTTCAGAAAGACAATAACCAGCAGGGAAGATTCTTTCATCCATGCTGTTTAGCGTAGATGGGAGAATCGTTTGCTGTCTCTCGTTCATGCCGCAGCGATCACACAGAACAGAGCCGATGTCACTGGCTCTGCACCAAGTTGTTTAAACTACACTGTCCAATGGACAGTGTGTTTAAGTTTGCTTGCTTGTGTGCACACTAGGGCACGCACGAGCAAGTAAAAAAGACGTGTATTTACGTGAACCTGCTGGGAGCTGTCAGCCATCCAGCGGTTCCATTACAACGGGTGGACAGCAACAGGTTAAAGTGAATTAAATCCCTTTTCAGTTTCTGTGTAGTCCTTTTTAAACATGTATAACACACATCTTCGTGCTCCTTCACTGCTTGTAAAAAAACATGATTCCCAGGTTCCACTGTGCCTAAGGACATATATCTGCACTCACCAACTTTCAATGGCCACCCTATTACAGATGAGCCACTTAAGCTTGCCAAGAAGACTCTTTGCACCGCTCCGATCCTCCGGTATCCAAGGGTTAAGCACCTCTAGTTTATACCAGCTACACCGTTTTCTCCTTTCATGCCCGATGCTCCTCCACAGGTACTCAATAATGCACATATTTTCCCCATTGTGTAGTATTAAAAACGAATTTATTAGTAGAATTAAAAGTTAGAGGAAGTCGGAAGTGACAAAACGCGTCGAAGGGTGGAACACACTGGCACCACGAGGAAGTATCTCAGGACCCGAGTGATTGTACTGAGCGAATTTAAAGGCATACTTATGTAAGTGCAACTTTTAATTCTACTAATAAAGTAATACATTTGAGTTGATTTTTTTTTCAGAGTAATTATTGTACTTTGCACAGTATTATTTCTTTCTGCATTGAATGAGTTCTTCAGGTTTGTATTCTCTTTATGTCTTATTTTACGTTATTTGCCATTTCTCAGAGTGCTGCTGATTACATAGATGAAGGGAAGAAATGAGCACAGATTAGCATACCCTTGTTATTAGGAGCAGAATACATCTGCTGCCTGATCCTGTCTCCTCCTGCAGCTTCACACCTTGTCATCCCTTTCACAGCTCTGTTCTTTATCACAGTTTTTCTGCTGCTACTTGGATTTAACTCACACTGAGTAGCTTGGACGTCCTTGCTGAGGATTAGATGCAGTTCTCCCTGTGACACCATTTCTAAACCCCACCCAATACCAAAAGACAGCTCTGGTTTTGTCCCCCCCTAGAATTCCGTTCTACAGCCCTTTTTTTTTTACTTCTATTTTTGCAGCCCTGATGTGAAAATCCAACATACAACGTTCCCTTTTCTGCACAAAACTGCTGTGTTTGGATAGAAAGCTTAAAAAAATGGAGGAAGAGACATAAGAGGACAAAAAGGAGAGATCCAGAGTGTAACAGTTAGGATTCAGAAAAAAATAAAATAAAAATAATAATAATAGTCTCTTGGGGTCAGATACCAAAGCCAAGGGAGTAGTGGCAAGCAGTGCAGTGTTTATTGGTGATATTTACAAGTCTCCATAGGTGCTGTACAGTTCACAAAAAAAGACTAACGAAATAAAACCTAGCCGTATCCCGGCATTAACTTCATAAACCAAAGTATAAGTCCTAACTAACAAGCTGAGCAGGCCTAGCACTTGTCAGCCTCCACATACACCATTTGCTAGTTTTGTCACAAACCATGCAGCTCTCTCAGACAGGACTTGTCTGATCCCCAGGCAGAGAGCTCTGAGTACTGGTTCCAGGTGAGCTTAAATTGCCAGTGGAGAGAGGAGTAAACCCTGCACTGGAGCCCGGATCAGCAATTCCTAAATGTATAGGAGAGGAACCTGGGAGACCTATAAACTCTGAACAGGACTTTCCCAGCCTCCCTCTGGGATGCTCTTCTACAATATATATATATAAATTTACACCGATAAGCCATAACATTATGAACACCTGCCTTATATTGAAGTATCATGTGGCATCAAGTCTGGAGAATTTGGA